GAGTTGTCTTGGGAGTTCAGCAGTGATGTGGAAATTACCTACTACTTATCTGAGCAACTGTCAGTGTCGTGAAGTGAAATTTCCATGAGGGCTAAGGCGGCACTTACCATGTTGAGCTTGCCTCGGCGCTCCACTAGGCTGGAGAAGGCAAAGGCTGTGACCACACAGGCAACGAGAGAGAAGTATGTGTTTACAATGGCCCTGGACTGTTTGTCTCCAGGTTCAGCAATGGCCGAGTTAAAGCTGGGCCAAAACATCCATAGAAAGAGAGTCCCTGTAGTGAACCCAAAGAGGGGATATTAGTTCTGAATATGGAAGACAGTCCAAAAGATGCAACTTGCTTTATTTACTTATTTATTTTTGAGACAGAGTGTCCCTCTGTCACCCAGGCTGGAGTGCAGTGGCTCGATCTCTGCTCACTGCAACTTCCACCTCCTGGGTTCAAGCAATTCTCCTGCCTCAGCCTCCTGAGTATCTGGGATTACAGGTGCGGGCTACCATGCCCACCTAATTTTTTTTTTTTTTTTGTATTTTTAGTAGAGACGGGGGTTTCAGCATGTTGGTCAGGCTGGTCTCGAACTCCTGACCTTGTGATCCACCCGCCTTGGCCTCCCAAAGTGCTGGGATTACAGGTGTGAGCCACTGCGCCCAGCCTGGAGGATGTAGTTTCCTTTGGCCACTGACAATGTCTCTCTTTAGGCTTGATTATCTACTGTTAGGAGAAAAGAGGAGAATTGAGCCAGCATAAAGTAGTATGCAAAAGATGCTCCTTTTTTCAAAGTTTAATTAAATTTACTATTATTATTTTTTAGAGATGGAGTCTCACTGTGTTACCCAGGCTAGACTCAAACTCCTGGGCTCAAGCAATCCCACCTCAGTCTCCTGAGTAGCTGAGGCTACTGTCGTTCACTACCATGCTTGGCTTGGATTTTTTTTTGAGCATCTCACACCTGTGTTGAAGTTAACCTTCCCTGGCCCCTTTTCAAATAGATAAGATTCAAGCAAGTTTATCCACACTCACCAATCATTGCAAACAAGTCTGAGTAGTAAGTGGACTCTTCATTTTTATGCCCCCTTCTCAGTGCAGATCGATACAAGATGCCTGCTACAGCCAAGCCAAAGTAGGCCCCAAAGGCATGGATCGTCATTGATGCTCCGATGTCAGAGGCCTGAAGGGACAAAATAACATTCATATAAATAGAGGTGAACCTGAGACTCATTTATGGGAGGAAAGTCAATGAAAGAATTGCATTGTTGGTTAAACGACTTAAAAAAATTAAAGAGGGACAGAAAGATTGTGTCAGAGAAAGAGGGGTAAAACAGGGAGTAAAATAGAAATAGCACAGAATTTGGGGCCACACACCACTGACTTTCAATCCTAGGTCAGTTACTTCCTTGCAATGTGACTTTAGACAAATTATTAAACATCTCTGATCTAAGGGTTCTGTAAAATGGGGAAATATTACCCACACTCAACAGAGTTTGTGGTGAGACTTAGATAAGACCTCATATTTCTAAAGCACTAGTTCCCTAGTGGGCACACAAGACATGCAAGTTTACTTCTCTAGGTGATGGAGATTTTGAGTGAAATATGTATTGCACAGCCTGGCATGGTGGTGGCTGCCTTGTAGTCCCAGCTACTGGGGAGGCTGAGGCAGGAGAATGACTTGAGCCTAGGAGTTTGAGGTTACAGTGAGCTATGATTGTCACATTGCACTCCAACCTAGGTGACAAAGCAAGAACTTATCTCAAAATAAATAAATAAATAAATAAATAAAAAAGATATTGCTTGTGATAAAAAACGAAGATGATATGTTCACTTGAAATTGCAGTTAAAGCTCACTTAATTGTAATTCAAGACTTGAAACTTCAAAAAACCAGAATTTTTGCCCTGTTTGTTTTTTTATTTGGCTCTATGATGACCTGAAAACCAGTTGAGGTCCCAGATTCATCTGAAGAGATTTCGATTCCTCTTTAGGATATGGTGTGGATTTGACTCAGTTTTCTACATTTCCATCCCCTAGAGGGAATACTCAGAGGGTCAAATTCTAGACATTCATCTGTACTTATAGACAGTAAGATGACACACATCTATTTATGAAAGATTTTCAAATTTAAGTAAAAATGGTCTCCTAGTTGTTGTTCCTTTATTTGCTAGACATAGACAGACCCAGTCCCCTTGAAGATCCACACTTGGTTGGAATGAGTCAAATATCTTCCCAGCATATATGAGCTATCTAGCAATCTTTACCCTCCCAGCAACACTTAGTCCCCTCCCAGCTGGGAAACCTTGCTTTGCTTCACCAGGTGGCTTCAGGAAGGTGGGAGGTGGTGATTAATCATGCTTGGACTTTCCAAATACCATGTGAGCCTGTGCCTCTCTTGAAATGCTCACATATTTGTAGGCAAAATAACCTTCTATGTTTCCCTTTGGAATCATTGAACAAGTCTTCATTCAGCTAGCACACAGAGTTGACAGAGTCTTTATTAATTGGACCCACTTACCTTGGTAGTTTCATCTGGTATCGGTCAAGTCCTTTCACCTTACTCTAAAAAAGTTTTCTTTTAGTTCTTCATCACCAATTCAAGACTGTGGTTGTTGTTACTTTGGCTTGAAGAACGTTTCTCTCCACTAGTTACTTGAAAACTTCTAGATATCTTTTAGGTCCAGTGTAACTGTCACTTCCTCAGGGAACCCCTCCTTGATTCTACAATCTAAACTAATCTTCCAGTTACACTTTCTCATAGTCCCACCATACGTATTTTTCATAGCATGTATTGCAATTTATAATAACATTTGTGTGTTTGTGTCTTTGGGTGGGTAGATGAATGTGCAATTCTTTATTTGTTTTCTGTCTCTTCCACTAGAGTGTAAGCTCTATAAAAGCAGGAACCTTCATGTTTTGTTTGTCATTGAGTCCCCAACATCTAGAAAGTTGTCAAAAATATTTGCAGTTGAATTGATGTTAATAGAAATATAAACAAAATCACAAAGTACTAGAGAGTGCCCCAAAGTGTTCTTTATTTATTTATTATTCCTGGGAGGAATCAATGAAATATTTGTGGAGAAAAAGGTTTCATTGAGGCCTTAACAAAAACCACTATAAGGCTTTATATAGGGCTATTCACCTAGTAGTAAAAATATAAAAAGGAATTGATCATTGATAAGCAAAAGAAGAGTTGAGGAATTAGAACAATCTGGAGGTGAATTCGGACTCTGGCAAGTCATTCAGTATCTGTGATAATCAGTTTTTATGGTGTATGTATGAGATAATAAAAATAATACGTACCATGCAGTGTTGTTGTGAAGATGAAATGAGATAATGTTTACAAAACTCCTACTTAACAGTAGGCACTCAGTAAATGATGGTTATTGTTAGTATTTGCTATGGTATCACTCTCACCAAGATTTGCTCCCATATACCATAGACACCCATTGTTTTTTGTAGCCAGAACTGATGTCCAAGGCTAGGTAAGTATAAATTTTCTAACTCTTACCTTAAATATTTCACCAACCAGATATTCATTGCCAGCAAATACAGCAATTTCTATAATTGTCATGATCAGCATTTGGGTGGGGCTCGTTTTTCCCAGGACAGCTCCAAAAGATATCAGAACTGTGGCTGTACTGAAGTCTGCATTTATCATGCTGAGGGGAAACAAGAATAAATTGAAGAGTAATGCACACCTAACATAAAACTGACCAAAGTGCAATCCCATCTCCCACCAGGCCCATCCGGTGCTTCCCAGACTTACTCATCATCTCCCACTTCCTTACTCCTCCCTCCAACTAAAGAGTTTCTTTAGTTGCTCTAATGTATATATTTTAACTTACCTTTTATCTCATTTAGGGTTTTACTTTATATTCGTTGATTTAATCAGTGAATTATTTCTGGAGTATGTGTTTACTATTGCACAACAAGAATACATGTTTACGCTTTAGAAACAATCTGAAAAACAATGAATGGGAAACTTTTGCTCCCTGTATCTGAGGTGGAAGGAATAATACTTTTATGGAAGAGGGTTTCTCATACCCTCAAAGTCAAACCAGAGATATTACAGACATGAATGTATTATCCAGCTCAGTAGAGCAAGGCATTGATTCAGATTTTTGAATTTCAACAATTTTCTGTTACATAAGGAAGGCAATTTGCCAGCCAGCACAGTAAATGATAGTGGACTACCAGAGAAACGATTGATCTGAAAATGCAATGGCTGAAAAATAAAGAATTGTTTAGTCTGTTTGGACTGCTATAACAAAATACCATAAACTGGGTTGTTTATAAAAAACATAAATTTATTTCTTACAGTTCTGGAGGCTGAGAAGCCCAAGATCAAGATGCTGACAGACTTGGTGTCTGATGAGGGCTCCCTTTCTGATTGGTAAGTGGTGCCTTCCAGCTATGTTCTCACATAGCGGAAGGGGTGAGGAATCTCCTGTGGACCTCTTTCACAAGGATGCTGACCACATTCATAAGCACTCTGCCTTCATGACCTGGTCACCTCCCAAATCCCCCACCTCTTAATATCATCATGTTGCAGGTTAAGAGTTCATAATATATGAATTCTGGAGGATACAAACATTCAGCCCATAGTAAGGATGCTCACTTTTTGATTCCAATGGTAATTTTCTGTCCCTGGCTATGCAGGATTCCCTGTACAACAGTGCCCCACTGGAGGCCCAAAGCAGCAATGAGTAGGTTGATACCCACACTGCTGAAGCCATATTTCTTCAGGAAGGTCATGAGGAAGCCAAACCCAACAAATATCATAACATGTACATCTTGGAACACTGGAAAAGAGTAAAGGAAAAAAAATCTGCATTAGGAGAGCATGAAGAAAGTATTGCATCATAGTATATCCCACGTATTAAGTGCTACCACCTTTGTATAACACACTGGGAAAAGAGAGCATTAGCTGGGAAGCAAAAGTTTGGTTCCAACGCCAGCTTGACTACTTACCAACCAAGAGACTTTGGCAAGTTATTCAGCATTGGAGCTTTTTATTGGGAAGACTATGCGCTATTACAACAGTGTGCCTTTCATCCTGTTCCTGAGGAATTTTACATTGTTTTCCACGTGAAGATAGCCTTACAAAGCACAGAGCAAGCATCACCCTTTCTTGCACTTTACCAAAACTCCCAGGAAACAGAATATTTTATCTTTTCATTTACATAGCTTTGTGTATATACTTCAGCTTTATCATTTGTCATGCTATATTAGCATTTATTTAGCATTTGTCGAACGATAATAGTCAATAAGGTGTCCATCTCCTGCACTAGATTGTGAATTTGTTGATTGAAGGGGTTTGGACACATTCATACTTGGCTCTCTTTAACTTGGCCTAGTAGCTTGCGTATCAGATAGGAAGCAGTATGTTTCTTTGATGGATGAGTCTCCATTCATCAAATGTGTATAATAGCACCAGCCACAAAAATCTTACCAGATCATTATTTGAGTCAAATGGGATAATCTCTGTTAGCACTTTATGAACCATGAAGCATTAATAAACATAAAGGGTGTATCCTCTTCAGTAACAAATATTCAACTTGGTGTCTGGGGATATGGGCTCAGGCACCTGAATTCAATCACATGATTGTGTGACCCTGGGCAAGTCACTTACTCTCTATGGGCTTCAGTGTTTTCATCTGCAACATTGTAAAGGCCCTATTTCACAGAATAATCCAAGTGGGATCACCTGTGTAGGAGGATTTGCATACAATAAAGTATTATACCAATAAAACATACAATCAAATGCAAGATAGTGAACACATGAACTCTTCAAGAAACTGACAACTAAGTTGGTAAGACATATATATGGATAAGCCATATATGAAATTGACATTTTTGACTGGAAATAGTCCTTTGATCTGAAGGGAGGATCTGGACAGTACATAACAGCATCCACTACAGTGGACAAACCTGAGTGGGGTACCATAGTCTCTCTCTCTCTCCTTTTGTGGTGGGGCGGGGAGTGGGGAGGAGATGGAGTCTCGCTCTGTTGCCCAGGATGGAGTGCAGTGGCATGAACCCGGCTCACTGCAACCTCCGCCTCCCAGGTTCAAGAAATTCTCCTGCCTCAGCGTCCCAAGTAGCTGGAATTACAGGTGCATGCCACCATGTCTGGCTGAGTTTTGTATTTTAGTAGAGACAAGGTTTCACCATGTTGGCCAGGCTGGTCTTGAACTCCTGACCTCAGGTGATCTGCTCTCCTCGGCCTCCCAAAGTGCTGGGATTACAGGCATGACCCACCATGCCTGGCCCCATAGTCTCTTTTTAATTAAATATCACCACTGTGGCCAGAGGTTTAAGTGGAAATAGGTATGAGGAAGGATATGCCTTGAAAATATGTCCCAGAAGAAACCGACATTAAAGGTCAATTAATTTGCCCAAAGGGTGAACTCAGGATTTGAACTCCAACCTGACTTTTCTGATTTCTCTGTTCATTGAGCACTGCAGGGGTATAAAATGACCAAAGCAGAGCTCTGGCTTCCGAGGCACACAGAGACGTTACTACTTCTTGGCTTCTCTCTACTTCTGTTCTGCCATCAGGCTCAGGGTAGTGTGTTGAGGGTAAGAGACTATGGTACACTACTCAGGCTTGTCTACTGCAGTGGATGCTGAGATGCGCTACCCAGATGCTCCCTTCAGATCAAAAGACTTATTCCTCCCATTTTCCCTGACTGTCAGGAGTGCTGCCAGATGAAGCCCTAAGGTCTCAATTCTTTCTGGAAAATGCTGCTGTTTTGCTCAAGGTCATAGCTCTTCTCTAGGGTAGTCTGGACACAATAACCGATTCACATGAGCAACCCTTGTTTCAGAAAATGACCACCTAAACCTGGACAATCCTAGCTTCAGAGCCTCCTGCAGGGTCAGCTGAGAACTTCTACTTCTCTCCTCAAATCCTTTTCCCTCAAGTGTTGATCCTTAAGGTGTTGATTCCCACCCCATACCTACCCAGGGTACCCTGGAACTGAGATTTTACCTGACTCGCTGACGGGCACTTGTCATGTCAGTTAATATCAACCTGTTTCCCTTTCTGCTTTTTGAAGTATAGATAACCACATCATTCATTTTTCTTTACACATTGATTTGCCACCATTTAATTTTTTTTTTTTTTTTTGAGACAGAGTGTAGCTCTGTCGCCCAGGCTGGAGTGCAGTGGCCGGATCTCAGCTCACTGCAAGCTCTGCCTCCCAGGTTTATGCCATTCTCCTGCCTCAGCCTCCTGAGTAGCTGGGACTATAGGTGCCCGCCACCTCGCCTGGCTAGTTTTTTGTATTTTTTTAGTAGAGACGGGATTTCACCCTGTTAACCAGGATGGTCTCGATCTCCTGACCTTGTGATCCGCCCATCTCAGCCTCCCAAAGTGCTGGGATTACAGGCTTGAGCCATTTAATTTTTATATGTAAAAATTTGATCTAGATCATAGAATAAGTTGGAGGGGAACTTAGAGTATATGCATGATTCTTACTATGGTTTTACTAAACCTTTATGGTACTCAGTTTTTTTTTTAAGGAATACTCGGATTACATGATGTCTAAAGTGTCTTAGCTCTACAATTTATTTTATTTTGCATTTAGGTCAGGACTCTAAGACACACAGAAGTTAGGTGACTTGTTTATAGTCACAAAGTATAATAAAAATAAGGACTCAGTTTTTTTTCATTTTGTTCATTTTTTTTAATTACACAAAGTTTTTCTAACTTTTTTTTTTTTTTTCCTTAGAGCACTCTGGTTCTCCCTGTAATCTATTGATTTTAAACTGCGCAGTTACCAACTGATATGGTTTGGCTCTGTGTCTTCACCCAAATCTCATCTTGTAGCTCCCATAATCCCATGTGTTGTGGGATGGACCCGGTGGGAGATGACTGAATAATGGAGGCAGGTCCTTCCCGTGTTGTTCTTGTGATAGTGAGTGGGCTGGAGTGCAGTGGTGCAATCTTGGCTCACTGCAACCTCCACCTCCCAGGCTCAAGTGATTCTCCTGTCTCAGCCTCCCAAATAGCTGGGGTTACAGGCATGGGCCACCATGGATGACTAATTTTGATATTTCTAGTGGGGACAGGGTTTCACCATGTTGGTCAGGCTGGTCTCAAACTCCCGACCTTGTGATCCACCCTCCTTGGCCTCCCAAAGTGCTGGATTATAGGTGTGAGCCACTACGCCCGGCAGTCTGATGGTTTTAAAAACAGGAGTTTCTCTGCACAAGCTCTCTCTTTGCCTGCTGCCACCCATGTAAGACGTGACTTGCTCCTCCTTGCCTTCCACCATGATTGTGAGGCCTCCTCAGACATGTGGAACTGTAAGTCAAATAAACCTCTTTCTTTCATAAATTACCAGTCTCGGGTATGTGTTTATCAGCAGTGTGAAAATGAACTAATACACCAACTAATTTAAGAAATTGTTTTATCTAATTTCATAATTTCCCTTAGTGGAACAATAGTTCTGCAGCATTCACCCCTCTTCCCCTTTGATGGAAAACCGGATATTTTATATTGGGGTAAAGAAATTTCATATATTGACTGTGCTTCAATATTTTTCCCTCTTCTGATGTAATTCTTGTTACTGCTTTTCGCCACAAGGGGGCTTAAGAACCTCATTTATTATTTAAATTAGTAAGAGCTTAAAAAGTTGTGGAGGCTCTTGACAGATAATGATTCGGTATGAAAGATATGAATAAAAAGGTTTATAAACAACTAGGATTATTGCGTTATCATTTATCCTGCTTTAAGAGTTTGTGGGTGGGAACCAGGGAGAGGGCCACAACTATAGTTGTGTGGTACAAGGCTCTGTCACTGAAGGAATAGTGTCCATTTTATAGAAGAAAAGGAACTCCTTTAGGGGTTTGCACTTTGGAGAAGACTTCCAACAGGTTTTAAGGATTGTCAAGTCTTGTCTAAATAAGTGATTCTCAACAAGAGGTAATATTAGCCCCCAGAGTACATTTGACAATGTCTGGAGACATTTGTGGTTGTTGCAACTCGAGTAGGTAGAGTGGTGCCACTGATCTCCTGAGGGATGCTGCCAAACATCCTGTGGTGAATAGGACAGCTTCCCGCAAGGAAGTATTGGGCTCAAAGTGTTAAGGATGCTGCTGTGGGGAAATCCTCATCTAAATCAACTATGCTTTTAAGGATTATTAGTAAGTAGTGTAAAACTTTCATTTTCTTTAAACGTTTTATACCAAAACAGAAAATGCTGGCTTGATTTACTTACAAATTTCTGCCCAGTAGCACAGCAAATTTTGCACTCTGTTTTGGGCCAAGATAGCAGGGTGGAGGGAACCAGGTGCCTACGCTTTCCTTGCTCTCTTCTCCCATGCCTTGCTGCCCCCTGAGATCATAGCAACTCAGTGTTTTTTATTTCAAGCATTTTCCTGAAAGTTGTTAACAGAAAATAAAAGAGGATAGTGAAAACTATAGAAGCGAAGAAATCTCAAGGCATTAGAATCCTACACTGTTCTTAGCATTCCCATCTCCCTGGCTGTGATAAGTTGTGTCTTTCACATTTATTTATTTATTATTTTATTTATTTATGTATTTATTTATTTATTTATTTATTTATTTATTTTTTTACTGAGACAGAGTCTCGCTCTGTCTTGCCTAGGCTAGAATGCAATGGCACGATCTCGGCTCACTGCAACCTCTGCCTCCTGGGTTCAAGCGATTCTCCTGTCTCAGCCTCCCCATTAGCTGGGACTACAGGCATATGCCACCACACCTGGTTAATTTTGTATTTTCGGTACAGGTGGGATTTCACCATGTTGGCCAGGTTGATCTCGAACTCCTGAC